GAAGTTCTCTTTAGGACCCGATCATAATATTCAAGATGAGTTTACATAATTCTAAGTCTGAACATCGTTATGAAAGTTTATCTTTGTCCCCCGGGGTGATATACTCTTTCTAACGAGTTGATTCGACTTTAGAATTAGAGCTCAACCTTAATCTTAAAATCCCCAAAGAAGACTAATATTTTTAAAATCTATTTTTTCAAAATTCCACCAACAAAAAGCCACTTGTTCCACCAATATAATTTTAGGAATTACCAACAAAAGTCTGTTGAGAAGCATTTTAGCCACTATCTTATAGACCGAATTACATAAACTAATGGGTCTATAGTTGGAGGGAGATAATGGAGTTTTGACTTTGGGAATCAAAACTATATTAGTGGCTTTCCAAGAATCATTCACTTACCAAATTTAAAAAAATGATCCACTGCTTTCCACATATCAAGTTTGATGATATGCCAATAGTGTTTAAAAAAAGAGTAAGACATACCATCTTGGCCTGGTGCAATATTCTTCCCTAGCGCCTTGATAACTTCCTCCAAATCTTCAAAAGTGAAATCCCTGTTAAGCAATGCTCTATCTTCATTTTTCAGAGTTGTTAAAGAAGCCAACCGATTCTCTAGATCACACTTTCTTTCAACCCATTTGTTGCTGAAATACTGAAACAGCACCTCCTCAACATCTTTTTGATCTTCAACCATTACACCTTATTCATTCCTGATTTTATGAATGAAGTTAGCATTTCTTCTTCCACTCGATAAGCTTGGAAGAATTTGGAATTTGAATCCCCTTCCACCATCCACTTAACTTTAGCTCGCTGCTTTCACCAGGTGTCTAACCAAGCCATGACAATATTGAGTTCTTCCAATTTGGTTTTAAGTTCCCACTGGATTTGATCTGGAATGAACCCGTCTGCAGTTTCCAACTCTTGTAGCCTCAACACCTGATTTCAATTCTTCTTTAGACAAATTCAAAGACTTGAATTTAGCCTTACACCAGTAATAAAGGTTTCTCAAAGTTCTCTTAAGCTTTTGATTTAAAGCTTGAAAAGGATCTCCTGAAGCTTTTTTCTCCCAAGATTTTTCCACTACAGCAATAGAAGCAGGGATTGTAGTCCAAACTTCTTCAAATCTTAATTCCTTCCTATTTGAAGGTTTGAAATCCAACAGGTTCAACAAAATCGAACAATGGTCCGATGCCATCCTTGCCAAATGCCTCACTATCAATCTATTAGAAGAGTTAAATGCAATAGAATTGACTAGGCATCTATCCAGCTTCTCAAGAATTCTCTCTGCTCCCTTCTTGTTATTACACGAAGTATACTTTGGCCCTACACAAGCCACTTCATGCAAATCATTGTTCTTGATAAAAGACTTCATCTCCTTTGGACCTAAGCCAAATACAAAATCTCTTCACCCTTTTTTTTCCTCCTTGGATAGAAGACAAATAAAGTCTCCCCCTATGACCATATGGAAATCTTCAATCAAATGATGCTCCAATCCTTCCCACAAAATCCTCCTCTTGTACACATCTTTGTTCACATATATTTTAGCAATTCTCCATGTACCCTTATTGGTCACTTCGAGATCTCCAATAAGCATTTGTGTTGAAGCTTCCAGTAATTTAAAAGTGGGCAAATCTTGCCTCCACATAACTAAAATACCTCCGGAGAGGCCTTCGGAAGGAACATGACAAAAATCCCAACCATCCCCTACAATAGAACTCACAACCTTTTTATCCACAACCATAAGTTTAATTTCAACTAAGCCAAGGAAGAATAACCCAAACTCCATAATGAATTCCTTTGCATATAGAGAAGCTTCATACATCTTTGCTCCTCTATAGTTCCAAAAACTGATGGCCGACATTAATTATCCAAGGGGAAAAGGTTCCCCGCCCTTGTTTTAACTTCACCTTCCAAATTCCTGATTCTTGGATTCAGCCTGATGGGGCCCAAGCTCTTTAATTGCTTAGTCCCTTTTTTCTTTGACTTGCTTGATCCTTCCTCTGCCTTGCTAGAATGAGCCTCCAAATTACTATCAACTATCACCACTTCATTTACTTTGTTAAAAGGAACTGATTCTGTAGTTAAATTCACTACAGGAATCTCATGTTCAACTTCAACTATTTCACCTTCTTCACTTAACTTGTGTAAAACATCAAACTGGTTAAGACTGCAAATTTTGTCTTCAGCTTTTGAGCAACTGATTCTTTTACTTCCATCTGCAGTAACTTCAGGATCTTCACTGATCTTGCTAGGAGGCAGCACAGCCTCCTTTGAAAATTTCTCCATTCTACTATCTTCAGCATTCTTCAGGTCTCCAAAGTTTTCAACCTCTGATTTGTCTCCTTCTTCCACATTAAATTTTTTCATAATAGAAAATGTCTGTCTTGGCCATTTATTCTGTATATTGAATTTTTTTCCCCTTTTCTTCCCATAATCCACATGAACCCATGGACCATATTCTCCTCCATAATCAGCTTCCTTGGCCTTTGAGACATCTTTCTCCATAATATCTTCCACAATTTTCTTCCTCATAACATTTGTATCATCTTTAACTGGCCTTGTTCCGAAATCATTTAAAATGTGCACAGGTTCCACCTTGCTCACCTGACAGAATTTATCCAAATAACCTATCCTTCCACATTTAAAACAAATGGACGGCAACTTCTCATAACAAACTTTTTGATAAAATTTCCCCAATGCACCTTCAACCCATACTCCTAAAGGAAGTTGGCCTTCTAAATTAATTCTAACACAAACTCTGGCATATTCTCGCCTCCCCCATTGAAACATGTTTTCATCAATAAGAAAAGGAACACAAACCTTCGAAGCAATCCTACATACATTAATTTTGTCCCAGCTTTGCAGAGGTATATTAGGAAGCCTAATCCATATTGGAGCCGTTAGCCCCTTCAAAGAAGAAGGATTAAAATCAGGGGACCATTTGTCCAAACCAATTATGCTGCCACTAACGAACCATGGACCATTTTTTAAAACAGCTTCCATAGCTTCTTGTTCTTCAAAGGCACATAATACCCATCCACC